ACGAGATAAGGTGCAAGCAGGCGAGGTGAAGACTTTACATGTGGCATCAAAAGAGCAATTGGCAGATTTGTTAACAAAATCATTAGGAGGAGCTCAGTTTAAGTCCCTATTATTCAAGATGGGAATTTTGAACATTCATTCTCCATCTTGAGGGGCCGTATTAAATTTTTTATCATTTTGTAAGGGTAGTTTAGTCTTTGTACATTCTTAACCGTGTATATATATGTGTATGAATCTCTAGAACTTTCTGAACAAAAAATAATACAGTTTTCATTCCCGCCACTTTTTCCTCTTCGTTCTCTCTCTATATTTCATCATACACTAACTTCTATACACAAACCATGACAACACGACTTTAGATCGTTGGGAAAAATGGATAATTTATGTGTAGATACTTATCAATTAACAAAATCAATTAAATAACAATAAATATAATTTAACAATAATATAAATATAAGAAGACGAGTTAGAAATACAAGTCTCAAGGAGTCACGAGAAGAACATTGTCCTAAAGTCGTGTTGCCTTCCCTTCGTACGGGCACTTTCAGCTCTGTACGGCTCCATGATAAAACTCATGTAACTAACAGTCCGTTCTTTTTTTATGCCCACGACCAAGGAAATAAGTGAACGGACCTTCATCAAGTTGTCAAAACTATATAAAATAATATAGAAGTGCAAAGAGCATTCTATCAAGTTATCTTTTTCATGATATGTTTAACCCCACGAAAATCACTCTCTTTTATAGGGAGAAATTCAACCCCAATTCATGAAAATAAATCATATTTAAGTATAAGTTACAATCGAAGTAATCAGTTTTAATTTTGTACTAAATGTTAATATTAAAAATCAAAACTAAAAATTAATATTTGTTGTGGAATTTCAAAACTTTTTAAAAAAAATGTTACAACACATTTGCACCACATTTGAGAGGTTATAAAAAAATTACAGTTTGGGCAAAATCCCTTTTCCGTATGAAAATTTTGCTTGGAACAGTCTCTCTCTCAATCGCTCTCAAATTGCAAGTGAAGTAATACAATTTGATTTCACGAAGTTTATGATTCTGACTACTGAAAATTTGAAAACAGAGTGCTTCTCAGTTGTAAAATTTTGGAAAATGATATATATACAGTGATGTACACATTTACAGCTCTCTTACAAAATGTGAAGGCCGCAATTAAAATGTTCGCGATTATTTTAATCGCAGCTCCACTCCTATATGTGAAAGGGTTGTCAAGAAAGCTGTCAAAAATCGTGTACTTGTAGCACATTTGTAAAAAAATTTGGATAAATTTCACAAGTAATGCTACACGATCTGTGTGGACGACCGCACACACACATGGGGGTGGGGATTATGTTATTCGTACAGGACCCATGCCTTTGTAAGGGCGCGGTCATAGGGAGCGGTCATAGGGAGTGTCATCCATGAGGGACGAGGGTCAAGTGGCATTTCTCAAATTTCACCCATCGTCACTCGACCTTACTCTTACTTGGAATCATATTACTCTAGTTCAACTCGAACTAATCACATCACCACATTTTAATTTGCGGGCAATTAAGTCACTCTATTAGCCTTCCATTAAATGGTTATGTGACTGTTAAAAGTAGCGGAATGTCCACAAATTTTTCCAAGTTAACGAAGTAAATATTATGAATCGTCACCAAACTTATACTTACTTGCAAAAAGGTTTGAACTTTTAATTCAGGACAATCACACCACTAAAATTTGATTACAAGGTTCTAAAATATGTGTTTAAATTTTTATAATATTTTGATTATTTGAAGATTATTAAATAAATAAAATAATACATATCGAACAACTAAACTCAGTTGTGTTTGAGTCCCATTAACTAAAAATTCATTTTTTCAAAACTCATTTCCAATCATACATTATCCAAATAGAATAATTTTGTACGTAAACTCAAATTTTTTCCTATTTTTTAACTACACACTCTCCCGTAAATTACTATATCAAATTTACCTTTTTTCATTTTTATTTTATTTTAAATGATGCTCAAACATAGTCTGATAAATATATAATTACTTATAACGTTCTCCAACTAGATTGTTTTCGATTTTTAGAAAACTAGACAATTTCAAAGTTGAGTTTATAAATGCAATAATAAACAAAAATTAAGAACTTTCATTTTCATTACAGTGTAGTTCAAGAAATAAAAGAGTGGTTTGTATATAAATATTCTTAATTTAATCATTCACATTTGTAGCATGTGCAAAAATGTGGAGCATTGGCAAGTGTCTTATGTAAGAATTTATTATTAGCAATCATTGTTTTAAAATGTTTACGATCTAAACTAATTATTTTAATTTAAATAAAATTCAAATTGCGGTGAACATTTTTTATTTACAAAATTAAAATGATTGGAATAATTAAAATAACTAAAATTTTAATGTTATTCTTTATGTTCACAATCAAAATTCTGTCCAAGTGTTAATATTTGATACAATATATTAAAGAAGAAACATTTGACAAAATTAATAGTATGTTTGGAAGTGATTTTTCTCTTAAAAAATTGATTTTTTGACCGTTATTTCATTATTTCAGTCGTCATATTTGACTTCTTCTCTCATAGGTGAACCCCACTTTTTTTCTAACTGTCAAAAAATCAATTCTCAAAATCACTCACAAACATGCTCTAAAAAATTTTCATGTTTTCATACAACCAAGTCATTACTATTGAATTCATTGCACAAATATATCATCAACCAAACCAAATGTGTCATGTAACGCCAATTTTGATACTCATTTTTCACTTACCATAGTAAATACATTCTTGAGCAAAAGAACCAAACTTCGGACTAGACTTCATTCCGTACAAAGTAGCAAACTACGCTCCTATTTGATGTTTAGTATAAAGTAGTAGACTATGCTCCTATATGGTGGAGATTAAAATTAGATTTTTAATATATTTTGATAAAAATTGATGAAATGTGTGATTGAAAGGTTATAAAATCCATAAAATATGTAGATAAAATTGACTTCAATTAGACTTTTGATTTTGATTCATATCAAAAAGGGACTATGAATAAAATTGAGCAAAAGAACCGGACTATTGACTAGACTATGAAACAAATGGAGATTGAATGACCATTAACTATATGCAAGTGGGGAAGCCTACAGTCGTGTTTTCCCCTTTGGAGCATAGGGCTCCACACAAACACTATAAAAATTCAATTCAACATGAAATTATTCTACATTTTGAAAGTGATTTTCAAAAAAATCACTTTTCTTCATGCATTCTCTTAAGAAAAAAAAAATAATAATAATAATAATAGTAATAATAATAATCATTTTAAACGTTTCTTCAAATATTTTTTCTAGCTTTAACCATACATTTTTTAAAAGAACCACTTTCACAAAAGCTCAAATATCATGACAAACTCTATTATTTTGTTATAATCTTATTATATATAGTTTGATTAATTTATTATGAAAATTTCAGCATGAGCTAAGAATTAGTAATACAATTCCTCCTATCATGTCAACTACATGAAAAATTTTAACGGTTTCTCACATTCTCACAATAAAAGATTTTTAATGTAAATTCAAAACTTTTTTTTTTTTTTTTTTTACTTTTTAATCATTTTTTCTTCAAAAACTTATTTTTGCCAAAGAATGCTATCAAACGGCCAGACGGGGGCTTAATACATTGAAGTGCATTTTGAATTAAATTAAAAGTAAGAGGACAAAAACCACTCCATTCTACTGCTAATATACCACGGGACCACTAGTGGATCCAGCACCCGGGGGGCACCAGCGGTTGCCTATGTTGCATTCGTTGGTATTAGTTTTTTTTTTTTTTTTGTCAATATATATAGTTTTGGATATATACATATTGTAATTTCATTTATTTTCAAGTAACTCTTGTAACTTAGTTGGTAAGACTAGTAAGTTGGAGGTTAGGATTTTGATTCTTTAAAAGAATAATCATTTATTTAATTATTTTAGTTTAATACTTTCCGTCATTTTGAAGTGTTGTTAATAAAACCAATGCAATTGAAAAGATTTGAACCTATGATCTTCTTTGGAATTAAGGGAAGCTTGACCACTAAGACATTTTGGTGGGTATAAAATTAACGTAAATATATATGTTCAATTTTAATAAAGTAATAGATATTTGGTTATTAAAACTGGAGCAATGGGAAAGATTCGAAACGCGCTCCTCTTTAAGAATTTGGAATGTTGACCACTATAGCATCTAGCGATTCTTGAAATCAAATATAACAGAAGTATAATAACAGGTATATTTGATTTTTATTGCAATCATTTGTGATCAACAATCACTCGTGCTCATTCGAGCTCCAGAATCCTCCACGGCACGGAACCTTGGACAATTGCTTTAATAGTTAGCGAAAGAACAAGAATAAACAACATGAATGATCGATGGGGTAAATTAACTTAAAGATACAAAGAAGTTTATGAAAAGTAAGATGGAGATTAACTTTATATAATCAAGAGGTGAAATGCTTTACCGCTGACATTGGAAAGTTATTCACTAAGGCCCCGTTTGATTACACGAAATTTTCCATGGAACTTGGAATTCGAATTCCAACTTCCACTTTTGGACTGTTTGATTGACAAAATTTTCCAGGGAATTGATTTTCCATGAATTTCTAGGTACAACACCTTAAAGCGTGATTTTCCACCTTTTTTTTCCTAGGGGATAGGTGGTTTTTGGTTTTCCACCTTATTTTTATTTTATTTTTTTTTGCTTATTTTATTTATTTTTTAATTGTTGGCAATGGGAACAAATTTTAGGAATAATTGTAAAAGAGGATATCCCTGAAATTGACAATTTCCACGTAAAACAAAGTCAAACGAATATCAAAAAATACTTTTACTTCAACATTTTCCACATGAAAAATTTATACAATCAAACACAATAATTTACAATTTCCATGAAAACAATTTCTAGGTAATTCAATTCCATGGAATTCATTTTCTTTCCATGTAATTTTCCTACTTGTAATCAAACGCACCCTAAAAGAAAAGAAAACCTGGAAAATTTACATTCGAAAGTAATTTATATAAAGAGAATGCAATATTAAAAAGAAGAAAAACCCAACTCTGCCATCAACAAAGCTGATAACGGTTTAGGCAATGAGCTCTTTTCAACTAATCATAGGCTGCTGAGTCTCTTCCACTGATAAACTCTAACATCCTCACTACATCTAGCATTTTTGGTCTATGCTTGGGAACACTTTTAACACAATCCAACGCTATCTGCAAAACCTTCATCGTTGCTTCCTCAATATTTTGATTCCTCAACAACTCGATATCGAAAACTTTTGCATTCCATTCCTTACGAACAACAGAAGCAACCCACCTCGCTAGCTGACTGGCCTTTTCATTCTCTTCAGAAAGTATCGTTGGCTTTCCAGTAAGAAGTTCGAGAAGCACAACTCCGAAGCTGTAGACATCAGAAGCATGGGACAATTTGTTGGTGTCTGTTACTTCTGGGGCGCGATACCCTGAAGAACAACTATGTAGCACTGAGGTTTTACTAACTAATGTTGCCAATCCGACTTCTGAAACACAGCCATATCCTTGAGCAGTAAGAAAAATGTTTGAGGTTTTTACATTTCCATGTACAAGATTCTGGCCAACTTGTGAGTGGATGTGAGCAATACCCCTTGCTGCCCCTACTGCAATTCTTAGTCGAGTTTCCCAATCTAAAGAAATTTTACCCTTGCCAAATTGTCCTGCAAAGACGATAAAATTCTTAAGATTAGAATCACCTGCAAAAATTATTACCTACCAAGGGTTATAATTGTATTGCTACTGATGAGCTTATAGTTATCATTGTGAGCTAGAATCGCACGACGTTTTTTAACTACGGATGTTGTAAAGATTCGAAAACGAGCTTCAGATTGATTCCTTAAAGAATTGACCTGGAGCTACTAAATGTTAAAATAACTACTGATTTCCATGAATTCATCCACATTATCCATCTTGAAGAATACAAATAAGCATTTTACAAGTGACATAGTATAGTATCAAGGGGAAGTAAGATATTTTACTTACCATGTAGCATGGAAGATACACTGCCCGCACCATAATAATCATACACCAAAAGCTTTTGATCATGAGAGTAGTAGTATGCCATTAATTTAGCAACACTTTCGTTCCTCATTCTTCCAATGACCTCCATTTGTTTCAGAAATTCTTCTCTTGTAACAATAACATCCTTTGATCTCTTTACTGCAATTGTAATTCCATTTTCCAGGGTTGCCTTATAAGAAGTCCCAAATGTTCCCTTCCCAAGAGCCTCTGCAGAAGCCCGCAACATATCTTCAAGTTCAAAATGAGGTTTGGGACACTCAATAAATACAAGCTTCGGATGTAGTTGATTTCTTGCATTTATCGTAGTAGTGTCCTCCATCATCTCCACTACTTGGGCCATTTTAGGTCTTTTCCTTGGGGATTTTGCAACACAACTCATCCCTATTTCCAACATCTTTACCATTTGTTCCTTGTTATGGATTCTCAAGAGCTCCACATCAAAAATATTAGCAATTGGCTCCTTTCGCTTGAAAGAATTAACCAATTTGACTAGGTCGAGAACCTCAACGCTACCTATTAAAGGGGACTTACGAGTGAGAAGTTCAAGCAGAAGGATTCCAAAGCTGTAGACATCAGACGCTTGAGACACATTCCGGGTGTTCTTGACTTCTGGGGCATGGTACCCAGCATTTCGCATGACTGGTGATTCAATCATGCTTGCTAAGCCAAGATCAGACACACATCCATACTGATGTAAACTAAGGAAAATGTTCGATGATTTTATGTTTCCATGGACAAGCTTTGCACCACTTTGCTTGTGAATGTGAGCAATACCCCTTGCTGCACCCACTGCAATTCTCAGCCGCGTTTTCCAGTCTAATGGAGCCCGATTCTCGCCAATTTTTCCTGGGCAGATGAGAAAATGCATTGGGTTGTATATTAACATTTTCATATTTCCGCCATTAATATAGATTTAGGCTTGGATATAGTCAGTGTCAAAACTATCATGCTTAAATTAACTAACAATTTCTAAATTGGTTATGCAGAAGAATTCGTCCATTCAAGCTATTAAACCTGCCGATTAGATACTTAAATTTAGTGTCTGTAGAATACTTCAATGAATAAAGCAACCTTTGGGGGAAAAAAAAAAGAAACTTGTTTGTTAGAATTTTTCTTCAGATGTATAAAAATCGTGTGAACGAGAAATGAACATACCATGTAACATTTCAGATACACTTCCATTACTGTAATGATCATACACCATGAGCTTTTCATCTTTGGAAAAATAGTAAGCCTTCAATGCGCACACGTTTTCATGCCTGACATTTCCAATGACCTCCATCTGTTGTCTGAACTTCTTTTCTGAAATGTTGATTACATTCAATCTTTTCAGCACAACTGTTATTCCATTATCCATTGCTGCCATATATGCTCTTCCAAATGTTCCCTTCCCCAGAAAATGAGCAGTCGACCTCAACATGTCTTCAAGGTCAAAAACAAGGCTAAAACCCTGAACAAATACCAGCTCAGAAAGCTCCTTCTCAACAGATTTTTCTTTCTTCTGCAAATTTTCAACTGCGGATGGAGGTAGCTGACGATACGGAGATGAACTTCCTGGGCCTGAAAAATCATAAGGCACATCAAGGACTTGAGAATCCAAACTGAAATCAGACGATGTGGAGCTGGCACTTGGGCTCTGATCATGAAACATTTGCCATAGTTCCTCTCTCCGGATCACAGCTCCCACCAATCTCTCCCAATTGTCAGATGTATTAGACATATCTCTTCTCAGCCCTGAAAATCCTTTAGAGAGCCTTGATATTTATGAACATGATCAAATTCAACGCTAGAATTATTGAACAATCAACCCGTAATACCAAACTCAATAATGTATTGTTGACATTGACTATGCTGGAAGGTCTGTTTTCCCTTCATTAAAAAATTATGTTGTCTCCTTCATATGTGCTGGATTTCATGTCGGCTAGTAGAAAAGGTCACATAATCCTTCCAGCTCCCAAAGTACGAGTTCCATTAAACAAAACATCCTGTGAATATGCAACTTCTGGGAATTTATAGAAAGCTGAAAAATAAAAAAAAATAAAAAAAAAAGGATGAAAAATGCACTATAGCGAGGAAAAATATAAACTGGTAGGAAATAGATTTCTTGGTATGATTCTCCCTTGTAATTTTACCATGACTAAAACAAATCCAGACGACCAGAAACAGCAATACGATGGAGAATCCATAAAGTCATATCCAAACAGAAAGACCAACTGCAAAATGATTTAGGAATTTACGGGATAATTATGAATATGTATGAATTGGAAAAGTCTCCAATTGATGTGACAAATAGTCATGACTCTTCAAATGTAAATGATGCATATTAAAGAATCATGTTGTTTCTGGTTGGATATGACTTTCGAAAAGGTACATAATTAAAAATCGTGACATTTTGATAGTGTGCAATATAGATCATTAAATATGAAAATGTATTATCTAACGATCTGTAAGTATTATGCTCTAGGTCCAATCAACTTTAGATATAAATACTTTTGATATATAATTAATGTAATTTAATGGCAGATCTATTATTTAATTAATAGACAATTAAATAAATAATAGAGTCGTAGATTCAAATCTTCGTAATTTGTTAATCACAAAGAGTTGTGATTGTGAGATACAAATTACATCTGATTGAATCTTAAATCGTCCATGGTCGTAAGTAATAACGAGATACGAATATCGTTATTACAAATAGACCATCACGTGTAGCATTTCTTACTTATGAAGTAAATAGCTGATCTCAAAAGTTAAAGTGTAGTGACACTTAAATGAACACGTGGATGTTTTGTTATAGAACAAAACATTGGAGACCCGCAGAGAGATTCCACATTCATAACTATCTAAGTGTCAGTGGTTAATCTCTAACGTTCGATAGTGGAATTGGTCCTTTTGACTTGAGGTCGTTATAGTACCTTATATGAGGACGATCATACTTTGACGGTGTTGGATGTTGTTCTGCCAAGGGCTGCTAATACGGCATCGTTCGGATATGTCAATAATCATATGAAGGTTGTAAATGACCAATAAACGATTCGTCACTCTTAAATAGTAAGAAATTATGATCTGTGTTTCATTCAATTAAGTCGATAATGAAATCATTGGCCAAGGTGTACTCATAAGTCGAAAAGGAGTTTTCAACTTATATTGACTTAATAGTGGAGTGAAAGATATGATTGATAATCGAGACTGAAACACTTTCATATCTCGTAATTGATTGGATCATATTGGCGAAGGGATTATAGTTTCACGGTAAACAAACGAGTTTGGTTGTCATACCACATGACATTTCCCGTCACATGTATTGTCCTGACACATTGCTAGATGTCAGTCTGGGATGGCGAGTGTGAATTGACGATAAATTAAAAGGGTGTTTTAATTTATCAATTTTGATTAGATCAAAATAATATTTCACGACGTTAGGTATCGTGATCGGGAACCTGATGGGTCACACACAAAAGAGAATTTGAAGATTGCAATTTGTCAATTAATTAATTTAACAATCGTTGGATAAATTAATTAATTTGTTTGATTATTTATATGTCCGAATTAATTAGATTAATTAATTCACAGACCGAATTTAATTAAATGGATTAGTTAAATATTGGACCAGACCAGATCAGGTCCGTTTGGACTTATATAAATACATTGCTAGGGTTTTCAATCCATATGTTTTTCTCATAATTATTCTTGCTAGCACAAGAGAAGAAAACCCTGGTAGCTGTAATCTTGTTCCTTGTGTGGATCATCGTTGGAGGCTGGATAATTAGACAGCTGTAGGTGGCGAATCAAGATTGCTGGAATGAAAAGAATAGCAAAGAAATTTGCAAATTTGAAAAATGTACAATCTTATCACAATTTCTATCTAAACACTAAGGTGATTCTTGGTGGGAATCGAAATCTATTTTAATTTTCCGCTGTGCATGTTAAGTAGATTCCCAACAGTAGTATCAGAGTCTCCTTTGTATTTGTTAGCAATTGATTTGTGTGATTGAACAGTCAAATGTTGATTGTTATTATTTTTCTTGTTTCTAGCGATTAAGTGGAAATTTAATTTTATATTTTTGAAATCTGATTCGAGAAGGAAAACAAAAAATATATATATAAAAATTGGAACAGTCGCTGGCGGGATTGGGCGGCCGGCCCGCCCACTGGGTATGAGTAACGGCGACTGTCGACGCTGCAAAATAAGGCAGCAACGTGCTGCGTTGCTGCTATTTATTGTAGCAGCGCGCGGCGCTGCTACTGTGACGAGAAGAAGCCGCCTGCGGCAATAAGGAAGGGTCGTCGCCCCCTAAAACCCCAGAAAGGGAGGTGATTTTTTCTGGCTAGGGTTTACAATCGCGTATTGGGTGATGGAGGCGGGGGCTTCTAACGCAATTTATGAAATTGCAGGCCCCCGTTTGTAATATCCTTATGGGGCCAATTTGTTAATTTTTTAAATGAGGGTCGGTTTGCAATATTTAATATTAAGGACCCCTTTTGGCAATTTGTTTTAAGGGGTCAAGGTTGCAATTATTTTATTGAAGGGCAGCTTTGCAATTTCGTGAATTGGAGGGCCTGTTCATAATTTTAAAATGGGTCAAATTGCACATTTCTAAAGGTGTTTTGAATATAAGTATTAAAATGGTTTTAAAATGTTTTTAAATGGATTTTGACCTATTTTGAACAGAGTTTTAATTTTGTCCTAAATTAAAATCTTATTTAAAAATTGACGACATTTTTTTATTTTCGTTAAAATTGGATTTTAACTTAAATATTAAACTTTGATCCCAGTTGAATTTTATTTTATTTAAGAGTGTTATCCTAGTTTAAAATATTTATTCAATTTAAATTAGAGTTGGACTCTAATTTAGGATTTAATTAAAATTCATTTTTAATTAATTTTTCACCCGAAGATATTTTAGAAATTAGAATTGGATTCTAATTTGACGTTTAATTAAAATTTGATTTTAATTAAATTGTTTCGCACTAAACTTTTCTTTAAATTAGAGTTAGACTCTAATTTGGTGTTTGATTAAAATTTGATTTTAATTAAACGGGTTCGCCTTAAAAATCTTAGATTTAGAGTTGGACTCTAATTCTACTATTTAATTAAAATTTGATTTTAATTAAATTCAACCACCTTAAGTTATGAAATTGGAGTTGGACTCTAATTTGATATTTAATTAAAATTTGATTTTAATTAAATAATTTCGCCCTATAATTGTGGAATTTGAGTTTTATTCTAGTTCGGTATTTGATTAAAATTTGATTTTAATTAAATATGACCGCTAATTAAATAATTGATTAATATGATTAATTAATTATTTAATTGATCCGATCTATTTGTCTAAAAGAGTTTAGACAATCTTAATTGCTAGAAATTTGAAACGTGTTAGCATATAATATTAGATATTATATAAGAATATATTTATGTGATAAATGCACTGTTAGTGGATGATTATGGACTCGACCATATGGATGTGTTGAATTGTTGATTTTTATTCTTGTTGTTTTGTGGGCCTCCGAGCTCGTTATTATTGTTATTATTGTGGGCCTGCGAGCTCTTGATCATTTTGGACCTGGGAGTTCATTATTATTATTGTTGCTATGGGCCTGCAAGTCTAATTTCATTTAGGCCTATGTGCCAACTAGTATAGGATACAAGTTACAACTAGATTAATTGGAGAAACAAGAAGAGGAGGAGACCATGGAGATGGTGCATTGATATTGATCAATGTAATACACCTTAAGAATTAACCAACTAGTCTCCTTATGGCTCGAGAAGACTAGATAGTAAAATTCATAATCGTCCACACTATATATATGTATTTGCATGGTAGATGTATAATGAAATATATTTCATATGATTGTTACAATGAGACCCTTGAATGCAAAATCCCTCCATAAAATATTAAATCACATTTATAATCGTCTTCCATTATTATAGTGAAAAACAAGAGTCCCAAATCGTCTCAACTTGTTGAGTACACTCAAGGCTGGTCTATTAGGAATATATTTGACATTATGAAATATTTGATATTTCTGAATGACGGGTTTGACTTAACTAAAATTTATCTTTTGTTTAGTATACTCAAGGAGATAAATTTTAGAGGCGTGTTAAGCTAACACATAAGATGTGTGAAGATAAAGAGTTGTTAGCTTAATGATTTGGGAATTGTATGGAGATATAATTGATAATAGGATCTACCCAAATGTTATATTAAGGCTTGTTGAGTACACTCAAGGTCTTAATATAATAGATGGGATCCCGGCCCACTGGGAGTCAAGTAGGGACTCCATAAATTTATGTAAGAGGGTCATAAATTTTAGTTAAATAGTGGGATCATAATTAATTTAATAAAAGTCAATGTTAAATTAATTGATACATTTTATATCTTTTCGTCATTTACATTTATATTGAATCTTGAGTAACCATATGTTTTGAATGGCATACTAGATGCTAACAACCAAACTAGATTTTCTTAATTGATACTGCAATTTGAGAATTGTTCTCATGCATGAGAAAATTAGTCACATCTTTGAATAGCCCTTTCCAAAGACACATGTTGATGACTCGATTAAAGAAAAGGTGACTGTTGTAATAAACACAGAGATGACGATAGTACTGCAACATATGTGATGTTTGCATTACGTCACCTAAGTTACAAAAGCAACTTAAGAGTATAGATGTTGACGCATAATTTTTCATTTCAAAGAGTTGTATGATAGTAATCATGTGTGGAAGGATATGAGACTTTCAAACAACTATACCGATACAAAGTGACAAAAGAATCTTCAGTCAATCCTCATGTACTGAAGATGATTGCCATGAGAAGTGTCTCAACTGAGTTCAATCATTAACTATGAACTAAGTATTGACTTAGCTCTGCAATCTCTATCATAGAGTTATTCATACTAATTATGAATTATGATATGAATAAGCTCGAATGCATACTCATTAAGTTGCTTAACATGTTTAGGACTGTTAAGCCCTCTATCAAAGTTGGCAGTGGGCAAACCATTGATTCCTCTAAGAGTGTTAAGAGGAAATTTAAAGGGGTTTTGAGAAAGCACTCAATATGGTTAAGACAGTCTAAGCGAAGGATAATACCAAATCTAATGACCTTTGTTTTCATTATAGAATGAAAGGTCATAGGAAGAAATATTGCAAGACTTATGTCTATTTCATTAGCTTCTCAGGTATTGGATACCAGATGTGGATCTCATATTTATACAAATATAGAGAAACTAAATAGAAGTAGACCACTGCGAAAAGGAGAAG